TCATCATCCTCATTAAGTTCGGATGCATTTTCAACATCAATTTTATTTTCCGAACTTAAATTGGCATTCAATGAGTCAAATTTTTGTATGGTTTCGGTCCTTAGTTTCAGCCTATCGTTTTCATCCAAAAGATTTTTCAGCATGTCCTTATGGTCCTTGGACTTTATAAAAGATTCTATTTTGTCCAGACCATACATGTAAGTGGGATTCACATCATCAGACGATACAACACTTTCGCAATTATATGCTTCAGCATCGATTTCATCTTCCTTAAACTCAAGGAAGGGCAAAATCATGCGATGAATTTTCTGCCCTATTTCACAGTTCAGATGAAGTTGAGTGATGTTAGCATAAAGACGTTTAGCAATTAAACAAAAAACATTTCTCTGTTTCAAAAGTTTTAAATTGTCTCTTTGCAAATAAATGTTTTCATCTTTGGATTTAATCAGCTCCGACTCCTTCAGCTCTATCCACATCCTCCGTTCTTCACTCTTGGAAGACACCCTGCTTATTTGGTCAGTTAGGTTAGAATTGGTGACCCGTGTTTGAGTTAAGCTACTATCTAGATTTAAGATTCTTGAATTTAAGCTTTTTAATTCTTTTTCATACGAATTTTGTGGGACTTTAAATGAAACAAAAACAGATTGTACCTTCTTGATCAATTCATCTAGCTCATTGATCTGCACGCTGAGAGGTTTTGCTGTGAAGCATAGATCCTCTCGCTCCTTGGAGTCTTCATTCCCACCATCCGTATTGTATCCCCTCATTTGAGATACATCTGTCACCATCAAACACTTCCCACTGCTTCCTTCACCTCTTGCAACGTATGCCTCTCCATGAGATGGTTTCCTGACTTCATCATCCTCCGAGTCGGATGACCAGACCTGCACGCCACCGAACTCATCATCCGCTGCCGAACCCTGCACAATTAAAGCATTCATTGAAGGGTTAGCAGTAGCTTTCTTTCTCTTGATCTCTTCCAGCTTTTTCATCAACAAGGCCTCTTCATCTTTTTCCTCATCCTTCTCTGTTATTTTCTTTAGAACACAGTCTTTGGCATAGTGGTTCTTTCCTCCACAGTAGTAGCAACTCACACCTGAATCTCCTTCAACTTTCGCCTCTTTCTTTGGTTCCTCTGTCTTTGGCTCTTCCCTACCTTTTCAGAACTATAGCTTCCCTGCCAGTTTCGGTTCTTATTAGTAGGGAATCTCTTCTTGATAAATCTCTTTGGATTAGACACCATCATTGCATAATCTTCAGAGGTAAGATCATAGTCTTCTAGGTCCAGATCTTCATCTTCTACCACATTTTTGCTTTTAGATAGGAGGGCCAAGGATCCCAAACTTGAGACTACATTCTTCTCTTGCATGACAATCTTTTCTTGGGATTTCAAAATTCCCACCAGCTTTGCCAGCGAATAAGACTTGAACTGCTCGTGAGCTTTGACTGTAGACACAACAGATCTCCATTCAGATCTTAAGCCATTCAAAAAGGTGACTTTCTGTTCAATCAGCTTCCTTTCTATATCGTGTTTGATCATCTTGCTAAGAAGATGATTGAAGCGATTGAACATCTGAGTAACAGTTTCATCAGAATTCTGCTTAAATTCACCAAACTCAGACAAAAGCAAGGTCTGAATAGAATGCTCCAAGTCTTCATCTGTGGAATATAGCTCTCGCAGCCTATCCCAGATTTCTTTAGCAGTACTGCAAGAACTTACCAATCTAAATGTATCAGATTGAAGAGCAAATTGAATCAGTCTCAAAGCTTTAATGTTGCACTGAAACTTTTCCTTTTCGTCTTGTGCCACATCTTTAACATCTTTTAGCAAATCATTATACTCTTTCTGAGTTTTAATAATTCTGGATGTTCTTGAGTGAGCGAATGGTCCTGACACAATAGCTTCCCATACAAGATACCCATTGTCTTCAGATCCGATGACGTAGTCTTCAAAATGATGCGCCCAAACTTCGTAATCTTGAGCGTAAAGAATAGGAATCTTTGTTGTTGATCCAATACTGTTTGAGATGTTGATAGGATTAGATTGAGAATCGTCCATGCTTGATCGTTTAACCTGTTTGAAAGATCAGACTTGTAATATATAATATTAGGGCAAAACGAATAAGTAATGAGATACGTCAATTATGGAGTGACGGCTCAATAAATATCAGTTAATGCGGAATAAACCCTAATAACTTCTTTCACAGAAGAGATGTGTATGAATTACACAGCCTCCTGCTCTGATACCAATTGATGAGATTTATAAACTCTTTGATCGATTAGATCTTTGTAACAGGTAGATAATGAACGTAAAACAATGAAACAAAATACAAGTATGGATCTGAATGAGTCGAATGATTAGAATACTCAATCCTCAGCAGAGCTCGATTAAGAACTTCCGCTGTAGAGGATTTTAGGGTTACAAAAGATGTCTTCTAAATCAGACGTAAAAACGATATTCGAGCACCTGAAAAGATGCATGCAAGCATCTATTAATACACAAACCCTAACAAACAAGTCACGGATGGACAGGCCCATACCGGATACAAAATAGGGCTAAGAGACCAGCCCAAGATGCAACACAATATACCCAACACTTATAAGCGTCTTAGTTGTACGAAAAAAGAAAAAACATCATAAATGGTCCCTGTGTTTTCCCAGATTCTGAAGTTTAGTCCCCGTGGTTTAAAACCCCCATAGATGGTCCCTGTGTTTTCAAAACTTTTGACGATTGGTCCTTATTGCTAACTCCGTTAACTTTTGTCCGTTAATTGAGGGGCATTTTCATCATTTCACACCACAGGGACTGTGACATCCCCAAAATCTCGGCCAGAAAAAACCGATTTTCATTTATGCTTTTTAGAATAACTTCAGAGTAAATCCATTTGATTTGAAAGAATTGCGGAATTTGTTCCCAAAAACAAAACATGATAAAACAATGTTTACCAAAGCATTTCATAAAAGAAATGTATTTTTCATTATATAATCAAAACTCGGGGTGTCATGTTCCGATACAGACCATTAAGCATAAACAATAACATTACAAGTCATTCAACAAATATATACATATACAGACTTGTAAACAAAACAACTTGATGGTTCATCCATCTTACGCCCTTGCGCCACTTCCTGTAATACAAATAAAACTGAGTGGGTCAGGCTTGGGAGCCTGGTGAGCATATAGGGTTTTCAACCCACAATAAATAAATTATATTTAATTTCACCAACTAATCACTATCCCGATTACCCATTCCCGCTATCCTCACTTTACATCCCTAAAACAACATCTATCTCAAGGGACCTAATCTAGGATTTTCATCGGGACGGACATTACTGCTAAGGGGTTTCCTCAACAATAGATATCCTAAAGGCAACCATGAGGGGGATAGAGTACACCGGTGAACACATCGTTCACAACACCTACAGGTTATGAACCTGCTAGCGTTCCACGAGACTGTCTAGAAGGAGTCTGTGGTTGTTACCCATACTCCACTGAATAACTAGGTCAACAACAACAACAACATCGAGGCCTCTCATCTGTTTATTACACACCAACTATCTACCCATGTTCTACCCAACATATTAGTAGATAAAAATATATATTTTTATACATAGTTTAAAACCTGTATAGCATTTTCATTCAATACATATTTCACATAACAGATGAGGCATACCCACATAACACGTATTTCATAGAAAACAAATCAGATCTATGAGATTAAAGAGAGTGAATATACATTCACGTACATAACAACAAAACTATACACATAACACGTATTTCGTATAAAATACTTCATAATTATGCGTTAGAAGAAAGTAACTACACACTCACTTGATCAGAAGATGATCAGACAGCACTACGACTTGTAGAAGTAGTAATCCTCAGCAGATCTGGAAGATCTCTACAAAAATCGAACTTCTCGCGGGCAGAGCTTCGGCTCGGAAACCGCACTTCTCGGGATCTTCGGGATCTCGGGACTTGCTTCGGGATTCGGGAATATTACCGGGGCTTCGGGGTGGCTTCGGGGGTTTACGCACAGAGCTTCGGCACAAAAACGAGAGGAAATTAACAAATAAACCCGTAACCCTCGCATCCTATTTATAGGAGGCTGGAGCCTCGGAGTACGCGGGGCCTACTGCTCCGAAATCGTAAGCGCATGCATCATCCGAAGTCCTCGAGTGTGAATGTCGACATCTTCGTTGTACGCTGGGCGTACTCCGGATGAGTCCGGTGACTCGTCTTCGGATAAGGCCGGATTTAATAATTAAATTTAATTATTAATTATTTCATAAACTTCGAAAATTCATATCTCCTTCATACGAACTCCATTTTCAACGTTCTTTATATCCACGCGAAGGTGAGACTACGCTTTACAACTTTCGTTTAGACTCCGTTGGCTAATTTTGATTTATTTTTTTTATTATTTATTTTTAATAGGCCGGGACATAAAATTTCGTTAGAATTTCATAACTTCTTCGTTTGACGTCCGTTCTCGCCTAACTTTTTATCTATTTGATACTAACAACGAGATCTTCGATTCTCGTTTAGATCACTAAGGCTAAATATCGCTCTAACGTAAATTTCACATTTTACGTCATTCAGCGGTGCCGGTTTTATCGCGAAATTTCGACAGGTCATAACTTCTTCGTTATAACTCGGATTTCGGCATTCTTTATATCTTCAGAAACCTTGTTTCGACTACTACAACCTTATCTAAAGATATCAAGTTTATTTTACACTTAAATTTTGACGCTTATTTTTATTCTTAATTAATCAAACCACATAATTAAGCAATTAAGCACAAAACACATAATACTCAAATAATACACTTCTATTATTTCAAAACGGGTTACAAAGGTTAACCTAGACTATCACATTGCTAAAAATGGCAAGCCCAGAAACACAGGCGTTACAGGGACCATTTATGATCTTTTCAGTTATTTTTTTTAAAAAGAGAATAATATGCAGATGGTCCTCTCTCTCTCTCTCTCTAAAACCAATGAAAGGGTTAGTAGATGATTCAAACGATCGGTTTTTGGGGAAGCTTAGTTCCCGTCTTCCAACAGGTCGAGAAGTGCAGGATACAAATGAAATTAGTCAAATACATATGAAGGCAAATGCGAAGGAAGGCAATCGGCGATTCTTCGTTCCTCTACCGTCATCGACATCAAAGAAGATGAAAGGGAAAGATCCTCTGATGCTCATCTTCGTCGGATTAAGGAAGAGAAACACAATGACGATATCAGAAGTGTTTTTGGGTGATGTTGTTCGGAAGGAGGACGATGGGTCACTCCTCGATGGTGAATCAAACGCTTTGAAGAAATCGATTTGCAGTTGACTTTTTGAACTCAAAATTAGTTTGATTGATTTCGTTCTTGCACATCTCATATCAAATTAGAGATGGTGATTTGTTCGCATCTGGTAAATCGGGGGAGTCGACAGCCTTGTTCATGATTTTTTTTTCTAAAAACGAAAAATCAAAGGGATGTGCTTCGTTACTTGAATCACGAATTGCTCACTTGTTTAGTATGTTGGATGGACTTCGATTTTGAATGATGAGTGATAATCGAAGGTTTGCTAGCTATTGGAAGTTTGTTGATTGATATCGACTGAGAAGTAAAATCGATCTGAATTTCGATGGTTTGGATGGATGAAAAACGAAAGTCAAAGAATGATTGATTGAAGAAAGGTAATCGATTGTTCATATCATTGATAGATGAGTTGGTTTGGCTGCTATGGCTTCGTTATCTGATCGATTTTGGAGTCGACATGAGACAAAGGTTAAGAACGAAGGCTGTAAAATCGATTCTTGGCAAACAATGTTAATGTTGATATGGTTTACTGATTTGGAATCAATGGAATCTAAGGGTCGAATATCTTGAAAACGAACGAAGCCATGGTTCAATGGAAATTGTTTGCAGATAGTCGACTAGGAATGATGTTGTACGAAGTGTTCCTGGTTGTTGTTTGGACTGTGATAACAATTTTGAGTTATTGCTTGAAGAAACAAAGTCTGATTTTGGGGTTGATTGATTCGAAGGGTATTTGCCTTTGGTTTGGGAAGAACTGTAAGAACGAAAATTTGAGTTTAATGACTAACGAAAGAATTTTGGTTTGGGAACGAACAGGCTCAATTTTGGGGAAGCAATGATGTTTGGTTTTTTTTTTTTTTAATGAGGTTTTGTTTTTTCTTCTTTTTTAAATATATTTAGTTTTTTTTTAAATAACTGAAAATATCATAAATGGTCCCTGTGGTGTGAAATGATGAAAATGTCCCTCAATTAACGGACAAAAGTTAACGGAGTTAGCAATAAGGACCAATCGTCAAAAGTTTTGAAAACACAGGGACCATCTATGAGGTTTTTAAACCACGGGGATTAAACTTCAGAATCTGAGAAAACACAGGGACCATTTATGTTGTTTTTTTACGAAAAAATAAAGAAAAGAGTGCAAAAAATCGATTTTTTATTAAGATTTAATATCTTTTTTGTGCGGTTTATCAAAAAAAAAAAAAAAAAAAAAAAAAAAAAAAAAAAGTTTAATTCGGAAAAAATCTAAATTATATGGTTTCTTATAATATTAACCCAAAAAAATTATGGATTTTCCAAAACGTATTTGGTTGTAACGTTTTCTTTTTATACATTTGCTGCATTTTTTTTAGAAGTTTCCCTTCTTTTGCAATTTCGTATCAACTTTTTTTTAAGAAAAACGTTTTACATTTTTTTTTAGATTTAATTTTGTTAAAAACTTTACAAATTCTCTTTTCTAATAACATTACAAAATTATTTTTTTATATCTTTCTGCAAATTACTTATAATTTCTGTTTTATATGTTTTTTATAACTTCTTTTACAAATTAATTTTACTTGTTTTTATAACTTATCCTTTCTAAAAGCATTACAAGTTAGTTTTCTGCAACTTTTTTAACAAATTCATTTTCTAAAATAATTATTTTATAGAAACATGAAAATTTAAAAAGAAATATAAAATAATAAAAACTTGTAGAAAACATTTAGACAAAATTATATAAATGGTCCATTTGGTTTATTAAATATCACAACTGTTGGATTAGGTATCTAAGCCCATAACTATAATTGATATTTACTTGATTTGATATGTAGCATGATCCTTTTGGGTTGCCTTCACTCATGCAACTTGACAGTATGACAAGTGAAGAGATAGTAGAATTTATTATGTGAAATAATAAATTGGTACTCAAAATGATTTTATTAGTATATTATAAGATTAATATATTATTTGGAAATCATATTATTAATTAGTGATTAATCAGAAATTAATTTGATATTAAGTTTTAGATTAAAGGAACTGATTAATAATAGAGTAACTGTTTTGCAAATCATTGATAGTTGTAAAAGCGGGTTGATTAACTCCTTTTAGATGGGGTGGACGAAATTTATAGGATGCCCTATAGAATTTCGTCCAAGGCCTTTAGTGTAATGTAACTCCCGTAGATTAGGGCTAATCAATTTAAAGACAATAAGCATCAAAAATGATTTTTTAATGGAAGCTTATTTTGAAGGAATAATCTTAACTAAGTTGTAGTACATATTACAAGGATTTCGTACATATAAAGAACGCTGAAATCCGAGTTATAACGAAGAAGTTATGACCTGTCGAAGTTTCGCGACAGAACCGACACGACGTTGAATGACGTAAAAAGTGAATTTTATATTTAGCCTTAGCGATCTAAACGAAAGTCGTAGAGTTCGTTAAACCGTGAGCGTGCATAAAAAAAAGTCCAAATCTGACTTCGTATGAGGAAGTTATGATTTTTCTAAGTTTCGACTTAGTGTTATGCAGCTCGAATACTCGATTTGAGATCGAACGGTTTTTAGCCGAAACAATCTAAATGAGAATCGAAGATCTTGTTGATAGTAGTGCAACGGTAAAGAGACAAACGAAAACGGACGTCGGATGAAGAAGTTATGAATTTATAACGGAGTTTTCTTGTCCCGGCCTACTAAAAATAAATAATAAAAATAAAGTCAAAAAATTAGCCGACAGAGCCTAAAAAAAGTTGTAGAGCGTAGTCTCACCTACGCGTTGATATAAAGAACGTCAAAAACGGAGTTCGTATGAGGAAGATATGAATTTTTGAATTAGCCGACAGAGCCTAAAAAAAGTTGTAGAGCGACTTCGTGCCTATTGAGTAAGCTTTGGTGACGATGCGACTTCGTGCCTATTTGATAAACCTTGGTGACTATGTGACGTAATGCCTGTTGTATAAACCCTAGTGACTATGAGACGTAGTGTCTATCGTATGAACCCTGGTGACTATGTGACGTAGTGTCTGTTGTATAAATCGTGGTAGTAAATGGACTTTGTGTCAGTTCCTTGTGGTTTCTAAAACTTGTGTGATTAATCTCCGTGGTTTCTTTTTATTACAAATTTGATTTCAAGTTACTATTATACCATTTTCAATTAAAATTTTATTTTTCATTTATATAATTTTAGTTAAAAATTAATAAATAAAAAGAAACCCCACCCTCACTCCTTTTGTCTTCTCTTTCTCTCTCAGCAACCTCATCCCATGTTCACTCTGGTAGCCACCTTCCTTCGTCCTATCACTACATGATTCAATCGTAGGCCTTCAACCCAACCACCATTAGTCCTCAACTAAGTGGTGTCTCCAAACCTTCTATCTCATTCTCTTTTTTATATGTATGTGTGGTAGACTATAAAAGTTAATAAATATGTATCATGTGCTTAGTTCAAAGCCTGCCATTAGTTCAAAGTTGGATATGCTAAATCAACTGGTGTTAGATATGTCAATTCGTCACTACATGAAACTGATCATTTTACCATTTTTTCTATTCTGTGCCGGATAAAATGTATCTATTATACATACAAATTTAACTTCATGAATATTATTTTAACATGTATTTAGCAACAAACATAACTATATAGTGTTCATAATCAAAATATAATGTCTCTAACTTGAAGATAATCTCTATGTGGATAATAGGTTCAGATGTTAAACTTTTGTAACTACAAAATAAACATGTTTAAACACCAAAATTGTAACTACAAAAGATTCTACAAACCTTTAGACTATTGAGAAACTATGTTTACTTTCAAAGTTGCAACACTTGCAATTGCTCGAAAACTTTTAGTACCCTGACATCTTTGAACTTTTAAAACTATCTATAAAAGAATTTGATATATTTAAACACTTAAAGATCTTTAATTTTTTCAAGTTTCCTCGATACAAAAGTAATAATCTTTATGAACTCAAATTTCCAGTTAACAATGTATATATATATATATATATATATATATATATATATATATATATATATATATATATATATATATATATATATATTGTAGCAATAAACTACATCATGCAATTGAGCCAACTAAATTTAAACACACTAATAAATCATAGAGCGCATTAATGAGGAGGGTTTCCATTTGGAATAAAAATTATGATGAAAATCGTAGAAACCTCAAAAATTTTGCATTCCCTCAGACACAAAGCTAGATCAGAAAGTGATGTATGAAGAACATATATAATGAATGATCAATTTCAATTCGAATCGACAATGATAGATTAAACATACGATGTGTAACACTCCAATCCAAGTATTACATTGTTTACCCTCAAGAATTTCATTTTGGCAAAAAGGGTCCTTCCGTACGCTAGGCATACATTTTGGTACGCTTAACGTACACATGTGTGAGCATCGGGTGGCCGAGGATCGTACGAGCATGTACGCGTGGCATACGTGGCTCGGGACCGAAACCCTAATTTTAGGGCAAGACCCCTATTTAAGCACTTTTATGTTGCTTGGACCTTACCCTAATCAGCCTCCATAGTTTATCCTCGTCCCAAAATCCTCAGTTCTCTTCAGCGTGAAGTCTTTGAGCTTAAAAGTGTTTCGGTGTCCATTTTTAGTGGGTTTCAAGAAGAAGAAGGTGGTGATCAAGCCTTGGATGTTATTGAGCTTCTAGATCCTGCATCTAGTTCATCTTGAAGAACTTGTGGAGGTAAAAAGTCGTAACCTTGTCATCTCTTTTGCTAGTTTGAGTTAGGGTTTTGTTATAAAGTCCATTTTTGGTTCTTAGACCCTCTCTTGTGAGTTGAGAAACTCCAGAGACTAGGATTTTTAGATCTAAGCTCCTTGAGCACGCGTGATGCAGAAAAATGCCATTTTGGAGGTTGTATTAAGGCCATGCATGAAGTTAAGGTCTCAAAAGTGATCTTAATGGGAGAAATGAAGTATTGGGGGGCTCATTTGGCATGTAAGGGCATAAAGTTGCCAACTTTATGCCCTAGGACATCTTAATAAAGCCAGATCTAAAGTTAGACGTTGAG